TTTATCAAGTTTATTCTAGACTGTATTACAAAAGGTTACTGTACTGTGATCGTATGTATTAGGTATTTCCTTTAGTATCGATCTCCGTCGCTACTAACATTGCCGGCGGTAAACGTTGGCTTATATATTTCATGTTTTAGAAGGTATTATCCGCTTAACTTTAGAACTACATAACATATGTTAATTGTACAAAATCCTGTAGAAAAGTACAAGGAAATGTTGTTAAATTGTATTAAAATTAGAAATTCCAATTAGAAATTTTGAGGTGTAAAGTAGATTTTGTTGTTAAATAATAATGTCTATCAATAATTCTGATCCTTTGATATTTGGGTTACAATCAACAAGTGCTTTAGGCTTTGGCAAGTAGATATACTGATAATCGAACCAAGAATTTACGTAGAAGTATGCTACGAAATAGCTACGTTTAGCTTTAGTCGAAATAGCTTTAATACATTTTTATTCTTATTTATTCATTAGTTCATTAAAAATGGCGTAGCTACGACAAAGGAGTAACAAACTCCCAACTTATTAAAGAAAAGTTTCGAGAAATATCTCCGATTTAGTTTGTGACATTGAACAAATATTCAATAGATTCAATGTTGATCTCCAAGCGTACCTGATAAATAATACAACTCATAAATAATATAGTAATAAATATAAAATCAATAATAAGTCTACCACAGTCGTTTATTAGCTGATGTTCAGAACATACAGCAAAGTGATATTGAGTTAGTCGTTTACGTAATGTGTTTTAACAAAGCAATTGAAAATTGACTATAGGAGAATAAAGACTTAATCCGTAACATTTAAGATAGTTACAAATAGTTAAAAAATAGATACACGTTTTTTTTTGATAACGTGAATTTTTGCAAGATTAAAGTATTACTGGTTAATAAAAACTAATTATAAACAAAAGTGCTAACAAAGGATTAGAAAAATGTCTAATGTATGATTGCTTAAAACCATAAAGTATATGTTGAGATTATAGACATTCATTTAAAAATTAAGCAATCAAAATGGCCTTTTATAAAGATGCTAATATCCAGTAGAAAAAGTAGGTCATATTTTTATTGGCCTATTATGACTACTATGTTGTTATATTAAGCTGTCAAATTTACATTTGAGTTAGAAAAAAAAATGAAAAATTGATAAAAGTTAGTAAAATCAAATATTTTATTTCATAATTAATAATTACTTACCTTAATACATTTATCACGGAGACAAAACAAAACACAGTGTGTAAGAAGGTGGCGACCTCTTGCTGCGATGTCTGGATATCAACTGTGGCCCCGGTGAGGGAAACTTGCGCGAAGTGAGGTGCGCACGGGGGTGAGCACTGGGCTCCGTCGGGGTGAGTCCAGTCCAGCGGTACTATGAATGATATAGACGAAGGTATCGGGGGGAGAGGCGCGCGAGGGGTTACATAACGGACGAGATCGATACCGGGCGGGGGAAAGCTTAGGCATTGTTCATACAATTCCTTTTGTTTTATTGTGATACAGTTTACTTCATCTTATTGCATTCGCTGTGCTGACCTATGTGTCTATTGTTCTTTGCTGACCCGATGTGTGGGCGTAAGCAATATCTCGCATGCACGCAATTCATACAATCCTATGCTATTCTCTCGATGACGATATTAAGTCACATTTGTATACAGTTGGGTACTATTCCGTTCTTAGAAGTTTAGTGTTGTTGTTTAGTTCTAATCTAGTTGATAGTTTTAGTAGTCCATTGATAGTTCTCTTAGTGATAAATATGCATGCTACTTATGTATTGTTTATTGACGCAGGTTAATGACGGATTGATGAAATTATTCAATAGATAGTATGACATTTTGAATAAGTATTGAAACAATAAATAAAACAGATAATAAAGGTATTATAAAGTAGTTGTTATTTAGGTAAAATCATATTCATTTTAGAGAGTTCCGTGAAGTTGTATAGTGAGTTTGTGCGATAGTGTAAAAATGAATCGATAGTGCCAATTAAATAGTGAAGTAACATGTTTTGTTTCTTCTAATGTATTTAGACTATTTAAAATAATGGAACATAATTTTTTTTTAATTTTTTATTTATTTACATGACACCTTCTATCTCCGTGTGGCAGTCAGGCAGTGACAGGAAAATAAATAGGTTATTATCATTTTGGTAATTTTGTTATTATTAATTTAACTTCGCTGGATTGCATAATATCATTATTTTAAAATAATGATAAATTGATATCCAATACGAATTATGAACACAGGGAGATGCAGTAAAGTTGATGATTTTTCAGGTAAATAATATATAATTAATTAATTACATAACGATAGTATCTTTGACAATAAGTAGTATTTCATCACAGTGTGAACGCTGAATAGGAATATCTCTAAGACTTCCCGATCTTTCTCCGCGGTATTTAATTGAAGATACCCGACCGATGTTTCACCAATTATTACTTAGAAACAAAGCTATGCTCTACGGATTTAATAAATTTCACTATAAAGATGAATTATCGGATTTTATTACGACGACTTTATACTAATTATTAATGCGAATGTTTAGATAGATGGATGTTTGTTATAACCTTCTATACCTACCTTCTTCTATAGATACCTATCTCCAGGACGGATAATCTGGTAGACCTGTTGCTATGTTAAATCTTGTATGTTATTTTATATCTTTATCGTATATATTATTGAAAATATAATAATATATTTAAGTATAATTAATTTGTAATGTTACTCTGAATGTTTAGTTGGGGTTTAGAGAGCAAACAATTGAAATTGCTTTGAAGATGAATTAATTAAGCGATCCTTTGCAAAGAGGCTTTATGCTAAGAAGTAAATTATCCTCGTGCTTTTCTCGGAATTGTTTGTGAAATATCTTATTTCTTCGTTTTAATTTAGTAGATGAACATTGCGAAATCATTTATAATAGGTTTAGAAATACTGTAGAACCGAAAAAAGCGAGAGTCTATGGGTAGAGATATTTTTCTCGCTTATGGTGATCTCCTGCTGGGTCTGAAAAATGACTCTTGCTTTTCGAGGTTCTCGCTTATTCTGGTTTGACTGTATTACAACATTTTATGAAAGAAGAGTCATCCGCGGAATTATTCAATAAGTTTTTAGATAAGTAGAAGTTAGAGGGATAGTTATTCCATGCACAAAGTGTAACGACGGTGCATCGTATTTCTTTGTTAACAGAATTTAGTACAATAACTTTTTAAATTAAATTTCTTACATAGTATTTTTTATCATGCCCATCTTAACGATCTTAATTTGTATCTACAGATGTCTTTGTACAAGAAATGCCGCTATACTAATGAAATAACAAATTTAATTATCGTTTCAATTTCCAGAACAATTCGTTTTATTTTCCATTTACTGGTAAAACAATAAACAACTTTACGTTTACAATCAGATAACACCACTTGAAATGAAAACTTTTTGTTGAATTAATTAAAAAGATATCTTTGTATTAAACGTAAAGCGTACTTGAGAATTTGGTAAAGGTAATTGTTCGTCGTTGTTTCTTATAAGTTTCTAAAATCACCAAATTGATAGCTTTAATCTTTTAGTAATATATGACTAGCTGTCGCATACGACTCTGTCCGCGCGGAATAAAAAAAAATCATAATTAGTAGCCTATGTATTCTTCCAGACTATGCTCTATATGTATGCCAAATTTCATCGAGATCAGTCGTTTTGGAGGTATCTTCAAACAAACATCCATCCATCTAAACATTCGCATTCATAATATTAGTAACATATGCAAATTCTCCAATTTCCCTTTTACTAATTTATATGTATTTTGTCCGACTTCTTAAACAAATTATAAACATTTTCTGCTATATATTCTATATATATATATATATACTTGTCTTTTACTGTTAATATTTTTGGGTAAAATCTAAATTTAAATAACCTTTGTACCTTATCAGGGTTCTATGTAAGAATTCTAATATTTTAAAAGCTTCGTTTCTTGCGGTATCTCTATGGTTAATTCTATTTATTATAGACGACAGCGCGCCACTGTGAGGGCGGGGCGGGTTCAGAGGCGACGCGATCTTTTCCCTAGACAACGAGATAGTGCACTCTACGAGATGAGTCCGTTTATATCTTTAGACGTCACTTGGTATAAATTATGCAAAAGATGTTTAGAAAATATGAATTTCAAAGAACTAACGGAATTTTAGTCCATGGGGGATAAACATGGACAAAAATAATATGTAGTTTTCAACTAAAAATATCATTTTGTTGACTACTAGAAGAAAAACATATTCAAACTAAATGAATCAAGTAAGTAATTTTGAAGATAATATCGAGATATTTTAATGGACTAAAGCATTAACGATACTTTAATTGATTCTCAGGGAAACTAATACTAAGAAAGTTGGTGAAGAATTAATGGTCGGCACTTAGTAGATTTACATCACTTTGAATTAGTTGCGGCAAGTTATTTTATTGTAACACATAAAATATTACAGTTTAAATATGACTATATAGTTGAAGAGATGTATAAAATAAATCTTATCCATTGGACGAAGACTTACCGTGGGTTTCCGAAACCAAATCCCCGATTAAAAGACATTGTTATCACTATTATGTCAAAGATAATAGGAAGATAATAGAGGGATAACGATATATTTTATACAGACATTTTGGTCTTAGAAAACAACGGTTAATGCACACGGCGAAGGACCGCACACTGCGGAAGGCATTAGCCCTATGCCCAGCAGTGGGCAGATAAACGCTGATGATGATTCAATATTCTTATTATTAAAACTGCCTAAGATTTCTAAATCATAATCAATTACCTACAGTTCAAACATCTAACAAATTAAAAATCATACGTTAAATTATTTTGTTAAAATTATGTTAAATAATTTATAGAACACGTTTTATATTTTCAAGGATTTCGTCATAAAATTTGAATAACTTTATAAATATTATGGAAGCTTCCTGATACTTAAGTAATAATTAATTAAATAAGTCAACGGAAACAAAGTTATCTATATTTTAAGTATATAACACACTTTCAAGACAAAAAGCGAAGTGCAAATTGTTCGTAATATAAAGAGGAAATTAGTATAATGGAGGATATTTTACAAAATATTGGATTAATCTTATATTTTAAAAATGCGATATAAACTTACAATGTATTAAAAAAATACTAGCACTAGAAAGGAAGAGACGTAAAACGGAAATAAAAGTTCAGTATCGGAAAAAGCTTTTATTTAATCTTAACTCATTTATAAAGCTGTTAGAGAATGTTTCGTATACCGTGGACTGCAAAAAACTAACAAATCGATCCAACTAAAAATATCCAGATGATAATCGAGATTTAAAATTGTATGCCACCAAGTTCTTGGATACTTTGGAAATATTTCCTCAAGACAACCTGATGACTGGAAAGATGGTTGGAAAGATCGAGGACAATAGGTCCTGTGGACGACCGCCTTCCAGCTGGTCCAATCAAGTACAAGATATATTGGGAGTCAACTTGACTACCCTAAGACGGGCCGAAGACAAGGCTGCTGCTGGTCGACTCATCTGTAAAGGCATTTTAATAAAACCACGAAGTTCACGAAGAAAAAGACTTGATATAGCTTTCAAGATACATCTCTTATTAAAATAATAAACTTCGTATGTGACTAATGAAATATTTTCACGTGTCATTGCCCTTTCATTCTGTTTGATAAAACATGTTTGTTTATAATGACATTGTTGTTGTGGTTTTCAATTTTATCCAAATGCAAGCTAAAATACAAATAAAAATTAACTAGTTGAATCTTATGTTCAAAGTAACTTACTACTTAAACTCTGCAACTTTGTAGCACAAAATTTAATATAAGTTAAGTTCCAATACAAAGATATTCTTTAGTATACATTAAAAGTTTCAAAGCAATAGTTTCTTGAAGTTCGGAGTATCGTTAACGTCTATTAAAACATTGTTCTTTAACAAGAAACTTCAAGTTACGTACTAGCTACGATCCTTTTATCATGGATACAAAGTTAGTTTAACATTTAACGCGTGATAAGTTTTCTATATCTTCTATAGAGCATCGGTGGCTCAAGGGTTTAAGCACATGACTTGTGATCTGTGGGTTTTGGGTTCGAATCCCGCTATGTACCAATGTGTTTTTCGATGTACATATGTACATTTATCCGACGTCCTTACGGTGAAGGAAAACATCGTGATGCAACCTGTACATATCTGAGAAGAAATTCAAATATATGTATGAAGTCAACCAACTCGTACTTGGCCAGCGTGGTTGACTGTGGCTTAGTCACCCCTTACTTAGGGTAGGCTCCGAGCCCCTCAGTGGGGACATATAGTGAGCTGATGATGTATGTTTTCTAAGTTCTGAAGCCCTAGTGTGAATAATTTAATAACGTTCCGAACATTTTAACGGATTTTCCGTTTTAACAGTGGTAGAGCCCGCTTTAACATCTTCGCACGAATCGGCCCGGCTCGCCCGGTGAAATACCACGACCACACAGAAGACAGGCGTGAAGTGGAAGCAATTCCGCGTTTCGTCTGATGAGTGTGCGTCCCGGAGGCCAAAATTAGTTCTCTTTCCCTTCCCACCCTTTTTCTTATAAGGAAAGGATGGGAAGTGGAAGTGGACTTTCCGGATGAGAGGATGCATGGAAAGGGAAAATATTTTCTTTCTGTGCATCCTCTTCTCCGTCGATTAAAGGTAGGCAACGCATATGCAATTGCGTATGTCTATGGGCAACGGTCACTTCGCTGTTTTAGCGATTTCAGGTGGCCGCTCACTCGTTTGCCACCTTGTGATATAAAAAAAAAAAAAAAAATTAGCACAAGTACTTCATATAGTTTTAGTTACGTACAATTATGAGAGAGAGAGAGAGAGAGTTATTAATCAAATTTTATAGCTTAGAATATGATTTGACATTTAAATGTGAAGTAAATTCATTGTAATTTAAATCGGTAACCTAGATATCAACACGAGTAGAAATTGCATTGAGTTAAAAATATATTGCGCGTGACATTTTCTGAATAGAACATAATTTCCTTTGACTGATTTAACTTACAAATGCAATCAAACGACAAAGGTCGGGAAGCGTCGAGAACATCGCCTAGATATTTATCGGAAAATATGCTATGAATATATTTCCAATATGATGTCGTATTTCAAATATTCTTCAATATCTTATCTTTATCTTACATTGAATTACTGACTACTCTTATCTACAAAAATCACTATTTAAAGTATGCTTCCTCAGTTACGAATAATTATTTAAAAGTAATACGATTTGTTTTGTTATAGTAGATAAAAGACTAATTTATAAAGAAAATAGAGTTTTTATCGAAATAATGTCAGAAACAAGAAGTAAAGGGTTTAACAACTTTTTGAAAGTTTAAAGAAAATTTTAAGCAATGTAAATATTAATAAATGTAAAGGTCTATGTGCTTATTTAAGAAGATATTACCTGTGATGTTTTACGTAGAAATTGTATAACTTGAGATCCCTGACTTTCAAGAATTGTTTTATTTAATTATATGATTTTATAAATGAATATTACTACATTATCGAATCTTTATTATTGCCACAAAAGATTTTGAGTTGATATACAGATATTATTAGTGGTTGTTAAAATAATATTCTGTTGTTTTTCTTAAGGAAAAAACGATACACATATTACGTCATTCGAAGTCACCCCGTCCTTAACACGACTTCTTACATAAATTCAAAGTTCACGTTCACCCCTTTCTAAACATTGCGACCTTCATCAATTCAAGGACAAACATTTTTAGTCGCTTTTCATGTAGTTTATTGATATTTGTACACGTACATAATTCACCAAAAGGGAGTGTTTAAAATTAACCTTAATTAATATTTTTTTATGAAACCAAGGCTTGAAAATTACGCTTGGAAATTTTTACATTGTTTTTTGTTTTAAAAAATGTCTGCCTGTCGGACTTTGCTACACGTAATCCATGTGAAATATAAACTTAATATGCTTAACGTCATTTCGGCTCCAATTTCTCTCGCCCGTGTTATCCCATACGCCCTTATCACACGATATACGAAAGCGGAGCGGAATATTAATTTACCCTTCTTATTGTCCGTACGGTTTGGCGGATCGAAACAATGTCGTGTCCGTTTCGTGATAATCAGTGTGTTGAATAAGGTGCTTATTAATGTGGGTTTCGAAGGCTGTGATATTTGCATTGAAATATACATACATTGAAACATTTTGTTTACATATAGTCTACAGTATGTAGACAACAGATAGAAAATATAAGTCACACGGCAACTGAATTTCTTATGAACATGAATTTAATAAATACTATGATTGATGATTGGGAATTTTGTCAACGAATTTGGCGTTCGTTCTATTTGCAGTGTGAACGTCAGCAACCATTGCAGTACTAAGTAGCTCGGTAATTTTTTATATCATTTCGCGCTTCGAATTTGCGGCAGTGTGCTAGGGGCGTGAATTCCGTTATAATCTCGTTACTATGACAGCTTTCGGCGCGGCGCGACCGCTCCCGGCAACACGAAAGCTGTAATCAATCTTGTTATGTACAACTACACCGATGCTTACATCATACCGTCGGGGCTTTATGGTTACGCGATCTGTCTTTGTCAATTATTTTACCCCGGTAACAGTGAGGAAAAAACAATATTGTTAAAGTATGAAATATTTCGTTCTCTTGTTTTTTAGGACAAAGGGGCAAACGAGCTTTGGTTCGTCTATTGATATGTGATCCGCCCGTAGACATCCGTAACATCAAGAGAAACACAGACGTGTCGCCTGTCTTTAAGAAGAGAGTATCGGCTGTCATGAAATGTCCTTAGGTATTTACCTAAACCAAGTATATAATAATTTATTTTGTCTTTTAAATAACATTGTGCCATGTTATTTACAATTTATGTACATGTTATATAACAAGAAAAATCTACAATTCTATGAAAGGATTTGTCCGTTCAATTGTAATTCCATATAAATATGGAGATGAGATAGACGTCGACAGTCGACTGGGCCGTATTAACATAGGTCGAATAACTGCGCGCCTCTCGCCTAGATCACAAATTCTAATACCGTAAGCTTCTCTAATACCGAAGAATATTTTCTCTTTATTGCTATGCTGATATTAAATTTTATATTCACATGTAACCATTTTAATCAAGGTTAAATTGGACCAGAAAACGAACGTCTAATAATATTAAGTTAAATTTTTAAGTATCTGCAAAATATGTATAAAATCATCTTAGATGCAAAAATTAATAAGTACTAGCTGTCGCCCGCGACTTCGTCCGGGTGGAGTTAAAAAACTTAATTAGTTGCCTATGTGTTCTTCCAGATGTTCTACATCAACGCCAAAATTCAGAGAGATCCATGAAGTCGTTCTGGAGATACCTTCAAGAAACATCCATCCATCCATTAAAATATTCGCATTTACAATATTATTATAGTAAGATTAATTACTGCGGTTTTGCCTTTCTTACGTATTAGATACATAAATGTAAAATAAAAGTCGTGATTAAACTTTTATATAATTTTAATTGGTAGACGTACAAAAATCGATATTGCCAATACCAGATTGCGTTTTCCTTATTAAATGTTATGACTTAACGTCTCCGTAATAAATGAATTACAAAACGTAAAAATAAATTATATTATGAATAACTGTAACATTACACTTATAATATCAATGGTATAACAGATTCAATGTATCACATCGGTCAATACATTGCTGTACAAATACAAGCGACTATTAACTAAAAATTTACGTATGAGTTTGATTATCATCAAAAGCTTAAACTATCAATTCCATGCTTATGTAAGCTGAATGATATTAAACGTATCACACAAAGCTTTATCTGCATTTACGTATACAAAAATACATTTTCAACTTTGAACTAAATTCGAATTTTGTTATACGAACTAATTAATGAAATATTATTTTTTCAAATAAACACGAATGTTTAAAACTTATCGATAAACATAAAATTTAAATTTAAAATCAAGAGACGATTTGCATTTAAATCGTATTAACAATGGCACTTCCTGACTAAAGAACGTATCACTATGCGCCCGACGAGCGGCGGCTTTAGGCAAGAAATGAGATTTTGGAAACACACGGTATATAGTTAGAGTTCTTGATTGGGTTCTTCGGCATCGGCCAGTTTAATGAGACCTATGAAGCTCTTCTCCGGCTGCATGAGGGAGTGTCTATTGCCGCCGGTGTTCCTGACCGCAAGCTTGTCGCCGGCACGGAGGAAGAGAGCGGCGGCGGAGAAGCAGGAGTTGGGCTTCTCGAGAGGCTCGGGGGAGTGCGCTGATTGCGCGCATTGTAGGAGTGTCTCGCGGCCCTCAGTGTCTGGATTAGTGCGGTGTAGCACCCACGATATCACGTCATGGCTGTCCAGGTAGTAAATCTGTGAAGATAAATGTTTTTCATTTGATTAATCGTGCAATAAGAACAACCATCAAACCGATAAAGCAACGAGGTATTAGGATCAAGTAGACCAAATTAACTTTTGATCTCTTTCTTTACCTCTTGTAACACTTATTTCTAGAACTTGTTGGTTTTAACCGACCTGAACATAGACGAGGTAGACGCCGGAGTGATGCACGTGCACGTGGCCTGCGCGGGTAAGCGTGGGGCGCGGGTGCGGGGAGGCCAGCGTCCACGGCGATGGGTACCACACGTCATGCGGCGCGTCGTGCGACACGCTCACCAAACCGTTACCTGTAACACCATATTGCAAGTTTGATGTATTAATTAACTTAAGCATAACACGTGATGATCACAGAAATAGTCAACTTGATCTAGAAAAATTAATATAATGAGATTTTTTTTATTTAGAAAGCAGCGGGTCGCAAAATGATACGTGAGCGTCCATGAAGAGTGGGACCACAAATGCGTCGTGTATGTGTATAGCACTTAATGCTTCTATTTGTATAATTGTGTTTACACGAAGGAAGTTCAAATCGTCTAACCTTTGTAATGTTCATGAATTTCCGGGCTCAGATGGGACGTGTTGCCGTGGAAGTGGGCGGCGATGAATGGTCTCCTGCGGCCTTCCTATATAAAAGTTACAAACTTTATAACATACAGAAAGAATTAAGACACAAAAATGCTGATAAATATTAGAACAGTTTTGCGCTAAATTGACAAATAAAGTATAAAACGGTGAGGGTCCTTAACATTAAAGCGTGTTTCGAATTAGGTTTATCTTCCTAGTTATGTGTAAATGCGATTATAACAATAACCATACCCCGTCTTCGCTGTTTCTTGCAGTTCTAGTGACAGTGTGTAGCGACATCTTCTCCGCTATAGTTGAATCTGTGCTCGATATGAACTTTTTCATTTTGCGTCTGTAACAAAATAATTTATTATTGATTTTAGTACTTTTATTTTAATTAAATGAAGTGTAAGAAAAGCCTAAATACAAAAAATATGGATTTCTAAAGTTGTAAATCATTGTTCACAATAATATTTTACAATATCGCAATAGACCATGTTTTCAAAGTTGCGTGAAAGATTTATGTTGTAATATGACCTATATTGTGAACACGTGGGAAATATTAGTCATTGTGTCCCTATTTCTATCTGACTCCACATTTCTACTTCGCAATAAATCTCATTGTTTAATATTTAATACTTATTCAGTCTCAAAGTCACTTGTGGGTTTTGTCCACAATCAAAAATGTTCAGGATATAAGGTTTCGAAATTAACGTCAGTGTCTAAAAGGCAATGTAAAAATATTTCGTATGTTCGCTTGTACAGAAATTTTAATTAAATTAATTTATGAAATACTCTGCTGAATTAATGTAAAAAAAAACTATTTGTGAACTGGTATTCTACGTTACCTTTATTAAATGGACTGAGGTAATGGAAAAATGTGTTCTGAGAGAGATTTTAACTTATGATATTAATCTCTTTGAAAGCGGAGCGAGCGCTCGCTTATTAAAAAAGGCTTCGCTTCACTAGAAAGATGGAAAAATATAATTCAATTTATATTTATATTTATAAAAGACTTCTATTGAAATACGACGTCTTTTGATATGAATAATTTTGAAAAAAGAAATCAACATAAACTCAAAGATTTTTAAAATCAACAGAAAGATATCTTGAAGATAACAGTAACACAAATTTAAAAGTATTATAAACAGAAATCTACAAAAGATTTATTTTATTTTGTTCCGTGATTAAACGACAAAAATATAGTTGTCAATGACTTTCTTTATTTTTAAAATAAAAAAGAAGATGAGATATTTTGCGACTTAAAAAAAGAATATTAACAAAGGAGTCATTAATGTAATCGAAATCCGCATTAAGGAGTGCCAACCTTAAATTAATTTGGTATAATTCTATGAAATCTAGTTAGTAAACAAAGAATCGTTTATTATGATAAGTGTTCAAAGTTCGTAGATAAATATTTTTTATGTGATTACTTGTGTTACTAACGATGTAATTTTACTACCTAAATGTCATATTTGTTTTTTTGTCTCTTTTAAAGCACAATAACATTTTCTTCTGATTACTGCGTTTAAATTAACACATCTTTATTAGTAACTGGTTGACACTATTTGATAATTCGTAAAATAAAATTATGTCACAGTAATTTAAAGTACACGTTACGGGTATTACCGTGAATGTTTTGTTTATTTAAATAGCTGCCGCGCACGACTCCGTTTGCAAGAATTAAAAATAAATTATAAGTTGCCTATTGGTTCCTCCTGGCTATGTTCTATATCTATGCTAAAGTTCATCGAGACCATGCAATCGTTTTGAAGATACCTTTAAACAAACATCCATCTATCCATACATCAAAATATTCGCATTTATAATATTAGTATGATGATGATTGACAAGCAGGTCATTAGATAAACAATCGCTAACAATATTAATATTAGCTTATATTTTTTCACAACAATAGGTCGGTAAATTCCGATGTTTAAACAGTATACGATTAGAATTCATATTCATATTTCGCTCGCATAGGCAATAGCTATAGTAAATATGCATAACAAAATGTAATCTAGCCCGAGTTGACATTAGAAACCTGACACTTGTGGTCAACTTTGCTAAGAATGAGAACAAACCAGTGCTATGTTTACGAAGGTTAAAATGTATTTATTCATTCTGTTTTATGATTATTTTATGTCAATGTACACAATCAGAAGTTTAATTAATATTACTAATAATTTAACGACACAAATACGTTTGCATTGGGAAAATAAATACATTTTGTAACTAGCAGTCGACGGCGACTGCGTGGAATTAAAAAAAAAAACTTAATAAATAGCCTATCTCTTCTTGCAGATCTTGTGCTACATGTGGGACAAATTTAATCAAAATCCGTAGAGCCGTTCCGGATATACCTTCAAACAAACATCCATCCATCCATTTGAACTTTCAAATTTAAGTAAAGTTTAGTAAAATATATTTTTTAAGCCACAAACATTCTTTGTTGTATTAATAATTTTGAAGACAAATTGGATAACAATATGAGAAGCAAACAACATTGATTAATGAGTTATAGCATAAATATTATTATATTCAATTAATATGTCGGTATTGCGAGTAGTTTGTAAAATAAGGTCGGTCAATCGATATACGTCCACCTGATATTCCCTGCTCTTAATGACATTCTTATTTTATGCTGCCTTTGCGCTATGTTTCAGTGTTGCAATTACAGGGTGTACAAAAAGTTTCAATTTAGTTTTGAATGTCTATCCCCGGGTGATTTTTTGAGTTATTCAAACGAGCTCTTACTTGTTTAGTTGCGTCAATTTCTCTTTAGTTTTAATGGATCGTTATTGGCCAGGTAAAGAATGAACGTGTATTTATATTCATTTATGACCGTTTTTTGGGGTTTATAGGCTGTAAACCAGTTGACTGGGACACCATTTTATTATTTTGTTTGCATCTCTTTCGAAACATATGTTTTTAATTTCGACAGTAATTAGGTCATCGTACTACGAATTTTTGATTATGAATCATGGTCATGGTGGACCACTAGCATTGCTATTTGAATTAAATATACATATAATGTCTTAAATTTTAATATTTTGCCCGTAAAGCTTGGAATGGATACTTTTTGTATTAGCAAATTTTGTTTTCTTAATTATAATTCCTTTGTGATGTCAGAGATACTAACCGGTCGTCTGTCTTCGAAATGATTTTTGGTACTGGCATTTCAGCGATAGCGTCCGCAGCGGCATCAGGGAACACGCTGCGTTTCACTCGGACCTCTTCTGCTGCCTTGGTCGGTATCTTCATTGTTGGTAAATCTGTAAAAAAATAAATAAAATATACCAGAAGAAATCTCGAGAGAGAAAGAACATTATATAAATTTGGAAATTTATTTTGAAATTTTCTGGTTAGATTACGTTCTTAAAAAAACAAAAATATATTTATCAGTCTCTCGTGACGACTGAATGTTGATTTATTTTTTTCGTTTTAGTACTCTGATCCATGACGATCATCAAGAACTATTGCCAAAGGCGAGGTGCTGAGCGAGAAGATGATATGCTGTAGCTCTTATTCGGACGAATGATAGCTGTTCGCTATAAACTACGCTATAGAAGCGTTCTCACCAATGTCGGTTAGCTCTGGGTTCTCATTGAGCAGCCGCTTGATCTCCGTAATATTGGGGATGGGGATCTGCCTCTCCTTGTCCGCCGGCAGCACCGCATCCGTGAAGTCCTCGGGCTTTAAGCGAACCATATTCGTTGTCCCAATCTAAGATGAAAACAACTAATTTAGTTTTCTAGTAAAGATTCGATAAAGCCGTCCATAAATATCATGTTATCGCTTATTTTGCGTTTCGTTACCAAACTACGCTTTTTTAATATTTAATTATTATTAAGGCTTTTTCACTTTAATCTAAAGTTAAAATGATTTTTAATTTGTTACAAAAGATAATTCAAGACCTGAAATAATTAACATCATTAGTGCGGTGAGAGAGACGAATTAAAAGGAAAACAAAACTCCTCGAAAATGCTGTCGACTTAATTAAATAATTTGAACAAAAAGTATCTTGTAAATCTAAAAGGCAAAGATTAAAAACAAAAGTGCACGTCGTATTTCAGTAATTTGATCGTTAACTGTCGTGTGCACATGCGATAAAGGAAATAAATGTAACGAAACGAAAACTAAAAATGTATTAAAGAAAACGAAAAATTAAGAGTTTTATGTATTTAAAGAATTATTGACAAAGCTATATTAAATTGCGAACTTTATCCTACATATTTAATTACAAAGCGAGAAAACTTTATTTTTAAATACATTTGATTTAAAAATACGAATTGCGCAGCAGAGATTTTGATAGTTTGTAAATAGACTTGTGTTAGCACGTGATACCACAAATTGAATGCTCGGCTGCATACGTATGCATACGTAATTTCCAAACCGCATTTGCGTCATCCCGCAATTCAATCTATGAATTGAATAGCTACAAACAGAAGCCAGGTGTCCCACGAACTATTTTCAGATTCGATAACTTCTCAATGACTCCACACTAATATTATAAAGAGGAATGATTTGATTTATACCGTGACGTCTTTTGAATCGTAAAAAAGATATTTATAAATTGTATAGAAAGAAAAGATTGCCAGAGTTTTTTTTTCTACTAATCCTTAATCCTACGTAAATATTTACCACAATATTAAATAAAAACATATATAAACGAATAATTTCATCGTGTTTTGGTAGAAAGTAATGTTAAATGTATTTGTTCACTTTTCTATACGTACTTTATATTATCAAAAAGGTCAAAGAGAAATAAACATACTTCAATAATAATTTTTAGAATATTTAAAATCGAACGTTACTAAATAAATTGTGATTCACAACTGTACTTCTAGTACTTAATACGATTTAAATATATTACCTTGGGCCCTTGTTTATAATAATCAGGATACCAGTCCCCACTTTCGGCATCCTCGTCACCATCATACATGTCCTCATCATCAGCCATCTGCGCGTCATCCTCGAGCACCGTCAGCCCGTGAAGCTTGTTCAATGGCGAATAGTTCCCCTTCTCCTTGTCTGACTCTTTGACTTCAATATTTTTATCAGTTGCGACCGTTATATCTTCGACTAAGTTGCCATCTTGATCTTCATCCGCGTATATCTGTGAAAGATTTTTAATAACTTATAAAAATATATATTAATTACGTTATTATTACTAAAACGTATAAAGCTTTCAACTTATGCATGTCTTAATTTCATATTATTTAATAAGAAAACATTATTATAGAGCAATAAATATTGAAATGTAATTTATAAAATTACTTTTAATTAATAATATAGATACTAATTTATGGAAAACAAATAAATGGTAACAATATTACGTTACGTGGCATTCCAAGGCCATTAATGATTTTAGGATTCTTCACTTGTAAGTGAAGTATTTGAACATTTAAAATTGATTTTTTGTCTATATTTTTTACCGTTAGATTCCTAAAATGTATGAACATGGAAATACCAAGTCTGTAAGTTGAATAACTATACTAATGATCCTATCTTGATGCTTTTTATATGAAAATATTCAAAGGATAAAAATATTATTTTAAAAAAGCTGTCTGTAACCCTACATATTATGCACAATCACGAACAAGTACGCAGGTAAACAAAACCCCTCGAGAAATGTTCAGAGCTAAAATAAGTTAAGAGGATTATGTAGGATTAAATTTTAATTTATCTTGACTATACATTATTTTATAGTGATTTTATTCAAGAGTTTAAAAAGGTATGTCAATCGTAAAATGGAATATTTTTGATGGAGCATTTATGCATTTACTAGCTGTCGCCCTCGACTCTGTCCGCGTGGAATTAAAAAAAAACTTTATACGTGATCTTCCAGGCTTTGTTCTACATATATGCCAAGTTTCAGCGAGATCCATTGAGCTGTTCCGGTGGTATTTTATAACAAAAATTCAACCATCCATCCATCTAAACTTTCGCACTTATCATATTAGTAAGAAGATTTGCAAAAAACCTAAAACTAAATACAGCACTAAAGTAAAGAGAACGAAAAGACATCGAATTCATCAACAACGTATATTGATACGTCCCCACTGAGGGGCTCGAAGCCTACCCTAAATGGTGACTAGGCCATCTAATAGCAATACGCAAATAGACCTATTATTTTCATGTCAATAGAGTCCATTAAAGTATGTCGTCATTGTGATACAAAGGTATCGAATAAAGAAATATGAGAGAGTGCTTCGTCAGTCCGGAGCAAACAAAACAAGATCAAAGGAACATGATACTTGTTTACGAAGACAGCGTACCTAATATTTTTATTATAACATGGTAGGTAACATTTATATTAGTCCAGTTACCGTGTTTTTCTTAGACCGAAATCCCTGTTTACAATATATTGTTATTTCTGTTTTGTCAAAGATAATGATAGGGATGACTATATGTTTTATACAGAGATGTTACAATATTATGTTTTAATTATTTTGTATCCACATTTTTTAAAAAAACGTGTATAGTTACGTAGTATCATTACGCAAACTTTAGCTTTTAGGTTGTTGTCAATAAAGCATTACGTAAAGATCATTAAAAATTGAATAACTTATTCAAAGTAACTTAAACTTGGGCTATTAGGCTAACTAAGTTAATTATACTTAGAGTCTTGAGACTTTGGAATCTTTTTTAAGAATGGAACCTTGAAAAATACAAAAAGAGATGTTAAATATAGTGTTCAAAAAGACGAAGCAATAAAATTGATCTTTGAAATACTGAAATGACTTCGTATAATAACACATATTAATATAACATGCTTGGAAGATAATTTTGCCGTCTTATTCTCTTTAAAATTTTAAGTCACTGGAATTAACGAAAAAAAGTCGTATTAGGGTTGTCAACTGTTTATATGCGTTTCAAGCATGTCATATGAATTACTCAAAATTAATTTTGTTTTTAGTTTCCGACCTCACGTGATAAATGGACAAGCCTTGAGGGACCACATTCACCACTCTAATTAGACATTTACTGAACTAAATCAATTTGTATTAGTCCTTCTATCTATATTCAAAGTAAGTCACACTTAAATTCTTCTTTTTTAAAATGTCACATAATGATAGTTTTTATCTTTCTCCATGACGTATAAAAGAAGGCCAGTAAGAATTAATTTTTCCAACAAATAGGTGGCAACCCTATCACAGTGTCCAGGTTGAAGCCCAGCAGACATTAAACGATTTGCTTTAAAAATAAATCTGTAACCGTTTCATTTGATAGCAATCCGGAGCGAGGCTGAACTTTTATGCTCGCACCACACTTTATCGAATTTATTATTAAATAGAAAGAACATTTATTACGGACGCGTGTAAAAAATCAAACGGTAGATCGACTTTTAAAATGATTTAGCTTTGTTCGAACAAGATTATTGCCTCTTAAACGCACATACTTCGTGTTTTAATATTTCGCAAAAACAAGATGTTTCTATAGTTTTGTTTTTTACACACGAAGGTTAATCTATCCACGAAACTTTTAAATAATTCATGAAATACGTAGATTTAATATTGAACGTGTAGTAACATAAATGTAATTATATAAAATTATTATATATTCTAATTATGAAATTAACTCCTTCGAAAATTACATTATTTGTGATTTTTTTTGTGTTAACAATAAAGTGACGAAATGCTCAAAAGTTTGTCGTCGATCAAACAGTAATATAATAAATGTACCACCACGTCATAAGTTTCAATTTGAACAAACATAATCATTTCTCCGAATATAGATTACTCATAAAATATTCGGTGAATTAAGATACCGTTGAAGTTGTAATCGTACACAAAGTAAATCAATATTTATAATTTTAATAGTTACTTATTATAAATAAACAATATCTTGCGTTTGATAAGATGAACACAAACTTAAGAGTATTGAAGTGTGAGAAAACCGTCCCTGTCTAAATCTCAGTAACTCTATAATCTATGCATATTAATGAAATTTATGTCTATGAAATATGAAAAAAAAATATTTATAACACGATGTATGTATATGTTGCGTTGCTGATAACGAAAAGCCAATTTAAAAAAATGTTGTCTGTTTGCAAATTCGCATTTGTGCCGGAAAATCACCGAAACGGCTAGGCCACTTATAATACGACTTTGATGAAAGCATATTATAGGATACTCTTTTCTGCGATGAAGAAGTCACGAGAGACCAGTAGTATTTTGTTAAATTTAAATAAAAATAAGCGATTTTTTCTATTATGTAATGACAAAGGTAAAAGCTATTTCAGTTCAGGAATTAGGCAATCGAATCCCCATTAAATTAATTTCCCCAGTGAGCCGAGAATCCGATAAGATTGAGGCAACGGAATTAATCCTACAAATAAACTTTTTAACTAAACGAGTTCGGAAATGTAGAACAAAAGCATGTTACAATTTATATTCGTAATTTGTTTGAAAAGTCTAATTTGGTTGTGACAGCCGGTACGTTACATGTCTATTTATCAAACGAAAGTGTGCAGTGTTAAGAACAGTTAGACATGTCTATTAAAATTTATTTTCAAAAATAACTCTTAACCAAAATGAATTGCTATTGTTTCAAAGTAATTGTGATAATTTGTCGTTCATTTATTTTTAATTCTGTTTATTTTATTATTTAAATTAATGATGAAAATTTTGTTTTCGGTAAACTTTCTTTACACTGTAAACAAACATAAAAATCAACGCATAAAATTGCTAAAATTTAATTCTACATATTTGCGCTTTTGGAAATCGAACTCGTAACACAAATAAACGATTTCTGTGTAAACTATGACACATTCATTTATATATTACTGACCACAAAAGCCATTAAACTTTTGCTTAAGAGCATAAAAAAACGACTTTCATTTTGAAATTGCACGTCAGTCAAACGTGACGGCGATATATGATTACTTGTCACATCTTTTAGCCCCATTTGGAACACATCTGCCACTTCTCATATTAAATATCTCTATGCAATACGCCCACGTCTTTTCGAAGTCGCGTGTTATCCGCTTTTCATGGTGTTAAAATTAATGTTAAAAGCAATAATTATTGCTTATTTGGGTTATTAAACTTATTTAACTTTTAAAACATTTGCAAAATATAACTAAAACATCACCTCACTTGGGAATGCAAGCTTGAACTTATCACATTCTATCTATCGATGAAAAAATATTTTTTTATGTTTGTGACGAAAAAACACAAAATCTACGGGCCTTTTTGAAAAAAAAAATATTCTTTTTTTATTTTATTTATTTAAATCATTAATTATTTTTACATTAATGGTACATTATCTTTTACCAACACTTAACCTTGAACCCTACATTTTAAATTTTTGTAAAATTTTAAAATAATAAATGTCCTTCTTCACGCAAAGTCGGGACGGATCGCTATTTGGAAACGTTGTTGGCATTTCTTATAAATTCAAGTGCGGTATTTGAAATGGTTTATTTTTAAAGATGTGCAAATTTTTCGAGGAGATTTGTTTTTCAATCTCGATAATTTCAAATGCATTAATGTATTGCGCGCAAAGAGTATGTGCTAATTTATTTTATTCGTATTTGTATATGCAGTTAATATATCATTGTAAATACATGAATCTTTAAATGAATTACAATGTCGAAGGTTTTGAACGACAATATTTCGTAACAAATAAATATAATTGAATGATTGTGTTGTCTCTAAACCATAAGTAAATGCACTCTGGATTTAGCTTTAATTCGGATTGACGAATAACAGCGATGACAGATAAAATATAAATCAATTTGAAAAAAAAACATTGTATTTGAAATTTTATGATTTTTTTTAAGATTTTTTCTTGTTGGAAAATGAAGTGATTTACATCTTACAAATCTATACCAAGCACTTAATATAACCGCAACTCGTAATATTTTACTGTACCCATATTAAAAAAATATTTGTTGAATCTGAAACTTGGTGCGAGTATTAAAAGCAAATAAAACGATTGACGCGCGTCGTATCCATCGACGGCTGTTCGATAAGTTATTCGCGCGCGCGTTCGTCTGTTTGCGCTTTTTATTTACAGTCCATTTCGAGATTTATACGATTATTTTGCTTCGATGAACAATCGATGTGTAAATAAACTCATTTAGACCATTATCAAGTGCAGAGACGGACT